TATCTACTTTAAAATACTTTTGGTTTTAGAAATGATATCCGCTTGTCTGTTAAGGCTTATATCCTTTATGTTTCAAAAATATTAAGGTTTTCTTGGATTTCACTTTCAAGACAAGTTTTATTTCTGATTTGACATGAAAATTGGTGGGGTCTGTGTTTTTAACTGTTATTGATATTGGTTATGTGTTGTACATGCTGGAGAGCGTGTTATACTCAGAGGTGTCTGCTTTCTGAACACGCCTCCTCAGTCTCTGGTCTGTTTATATTCATAAGTTAGTGTTGTAAAAATCCTACCTACACATCTTCTCTTAATAATTGCAATCTTTGAAATTCACATGTCTTTTTTAGCATCTTGTTTTACCCTAAGTCATAAGTAAACTCAGGAAAAAATGCTTTCAGATGTTCTGCTATTACTACATGGAACACTGAGACTGATACACAGACTGGCCTGAATCTACACTGTAACCCTGGATGAGTGTCTACTGAGCCTAGGATGTCTGTGTGCAAATGCTTTATTTGATCATTGTTTGGTCACCCCAACTATGTGCTTTAATGTAATTGCCTAAATCCTGTGTTGCTGCTACTTTTGAATTAGGGACAAAAATGGAACACTGTCTGTTTATTCTTTTGGCATTATTATATCGGAAATTCGGAGTCACTCGGACAAGTGCTACATTCACATACAAACATACATTTTCAATTGGCATATTCTCTGAGCTGCTGCACTGAAGACTGTAGTAGAGCAGGGCTGCAACACATACACTAGAGGGGTATGAGGTAGAGTAAAGCCAGAAGAGTACAGTGTGGACAGAATCTGTTGTATCATTTATTTTAGCTGATAAATTAACCTGGATTGGACCCAAAGTAAGGCAGGGCTTGCAATAAAGTTCTAGTGATATGACTCCTCAATTGTATTATTGATGTTAACATATACAAGGGATTGCACAGTATACCGATACTAGAAAATAATTGCGATTAAAAAAAAAATTACAATACACCATTTTATTTGATGGGTGCTTAAAAAGGTATTTATGAGATGCGATGACAAAGAGCTAAATATGGCCCCAAATGATAGTAAGCAAGCGGTAACACCAAACATAAAGAGAAAATATTTACTTTTGAAGGTACGTGGAGGCTCCTTCGTCTGAGTGTGTGGCATCAAACTGTTTATTGCTCCCATAGTGTCAACTGAAGAGGTTGGATATTACAGCCTCATACTTTCCATTCACATATAATCCCTATTCATCATGAGGTTTACAGTGCTGCTTAACTCACTTCTGCTTGGATGGAACGTGGGCAGCGTTAAGATGAGTGGAGGTTGATCTAAATCAGGGGTCACCAACCTTTTTTAGGATGAGGGCTACTTTCAAAAAATAAAACAAGTCGGGGGGCTACTTTTACTCCTCTTTTTTTTGTTTTTTGCAGTGTATATATTTTGCACATTTAAACATTATTATATGTTTACCTTTAACCTTTGTGTGCTGTTTGGGTCTGTGGGACCCGTTTTCAGTGTTTACTAAAAGAACATGTATTTAATTTAATTATTTTAACCTGCTTTATTTGGGGGTGGACCTAACCTCCTCTAGGGGGGTCCTCACCTCCTCTAGGGGGGTCCGGGGACATGAAACCCCCGGGAAGATTTTTGTTTAAATGTTGAAGTGAAAAGCATCAATCTGGAGCACTTTGAGCACAACATGAATTGATGGATACAGCTCTCAGCACTCAGATGAAAGGGAGCTGTATACTTTTCAATGATCCAAACATCTTTAGAATATGATCACAACCAATAACAAATCATTTAACCTCTTAAGCCCTGAGCCTGTTTTTCAGGTCTCAGGCTCGAAAAGGACATTCCCAGAACAAATGACCATATCTTCCCTTCTAAAAGGGTTAAATTAATAATCTTTTTTCTCAAAGTAATGATAAACCTGTGAGTTGGATGTAGAAGAGTCAGAATCAATATAGATATTTTTTATTTTAAAGAAAATTCAGATTGAACATAATAAAAAACTGTAAATTATAGTGTCCGTCCAAAAATTCTTTTTTACTTATAGTGAAAACTACCCTTGGATGATGGGTTAGTAGACTAAAAGCTTTAGGAATCCAAAGTACAACATATAATAAGTACCCTGTATCAAGATTGATGCAAAACAAGTGACATTTGACCTTTTTAGAGAGGTTTAGCAAAAGAAACTCCACCTCTGAGGTGATTTGGGTGGAAATGGGCGTTTTTACCGTTTCTCTGGAACCCATTGGTCGATTTTGGTGATTGACACCTCTTTCTGACCGTTAGAGCCAATAGAATCGAAGGGGGATTTTCACATTCACACACGTGTTAACAAAAAAAGGTGGGGGCTTTGCGCATGCAGGTTTGCATCAGAGTGAACCTATCTCTAGCTTTGACATCTGGAAACGGAAAAGCAGTTTTAATGCTTATGGATTATCAGAAATCATTTCAAAGGGACACAGACACATTGGATTAACCTATGGATTAACTTCAGCAGCGTTTTTATCGTTTTAATGCCTTGAAGACCACTTTTGACCAGACAACGACACAGGTAAGCCATGTTAGCGTTTTTAGGTACCTAGCGCCACATGTTTTGATGTCTGTTTTTGTTTATAAAGTCGCGAGTTCTTATCATGGAGTGATAATGTAGGTACCGGTTGATTCTGTGTCTTCTCACGATGCTAGTCGATATGTTGGACGTGCAGTAAAGATAAATAATAAGGGTATTATGAGTGAGTTTCTGTGCAAAACGGCGTTAGCATTTTTTCGCTCATGGCTAATTCATAGGCCCAGCGCTAGCTTTGTGGGTTTAAAAAAAAAGATCAGTTAGCTGAGTTTCTTCCCGTTACATGGACATAAAACATTCATAGTTTATTGAATATTAAGATGCCCTCAGACGCTGTTTCCTGCAGATGACGCGTTTTTCCCCCCGGTATCGGGGGTGCGGTGTAGAAGAGGTTAAACTTGTTTATTCTTATCTTATGTTACCTAGTTAGCATTCTTTCTATTCATTTATGCATATTTTACTAATCACTCCCATTTTAAACTGTTTTTTGTTTTTTTTACTGTCCTATAGTACACATTGGAATGATTTCTTACTTTATCTATATTAAATAGATAAAGGTGTGCTCTCTCTCTCTCTCTCTCTCTCTCTCTCTCTCTCTCTCTCTCTCTCTCTCTCTCTCTCTTTCTCTCTCTCTCTCTCTCTCTCTCTCTCTCTCTCTCTCTCTCTCTCTATTCATTGTGGGGGGTGGGGGGAGGAGGGGTGTTAGATAGATATAGAGTTGTAGTAAGTAGATAGAGTTCGCTATGATTTAGGTTTCGTTTATGCATAGGGTAGATTCTTTTAATTACATTTCCTTTTTTGTTTTGTGTATTTTATACATTTTGGATTTGCTTGGCGAGCTATTTTTAGAATATGCCCGGGGCACGCGGGCACCGTGTTGGCTACCCCTGATCTAAATGATGAGAAAGCTAGCCTAGATAATACCTTTACAACTCTCTCTGACCAGTTAATGATATGTAGTGTTTAAATGTCACCATTTGGTATCATCTCAACTCGATTGGAACCTTGTGTGAGTTGATACCAAAATGAATACCAGGTATCAGGTACTGACAGGAGAGACTACTTTTTGTTTGCATCTTTTCCTTTAAGAAAGTAAACTGAGCTTTTGGAAAAGTCACAAAATATGTCTCATCTGTGAGATAACTGTTGACAATGACAAAGCGTCATTGTGCCCTGCATTTCAGTAATCTGCCGACATTTCAATGTATCCAGTGTGGAGGAGGAACTGGAATGTCTCCTGATCATTTCTCAGAATTTCTCTGAATCAGACCAGTTCTGTTGAATCACATGTTGGCTATGGCTGCCAAGAAAGAAGTAAACAAATTGATTTGTGCTCTACAACAACAAGGTCAAAGAGTCACTGCAGGAGGGCTGCCAAATTCATTACAATTATTATTTATTTTGCTTCACCAGGGACATCTATGTTTATCTTTTAAATAAAAAGGTGTATTCATATGAATTTGTCAATTATTAGTAATATATAGCTTAGTTTTGTGGCCCTTTAGGCCGCCCTACAGTTATCGTAGTCTGAGTTGACCTTAAAAAGGTTAATGGTGAAGAGTTTGACTTACTGTATGTTTAGAAGTCTAGTCTACTACTTTTTATTCATACCTCGATACAGTAAGTGGGTGAAACAGCATTTCGATCTCCCTGTCTGTATATCACACACAGAAATGGACAATCAAGTTGACTTTGACTTATGCTATTAAAATGACGGAAAAGAGGTAATTACTTTATGTGTGACATGTAGAAATGTCATGATTGTGTCAGCCCGACAGAACCAGACTATCTGATCCTTCCATAGAGACTCGAAGAAGACTCGAGCATCGTTCTCTCTTCACACTCCAACAGTTGGCAGGCACTCAAGAGAAGCTGTTTACTTCTCTGATACTAACTTGGCACGATCACACTAATAAGAAAGCGATCTGGCCAGTGGACTGTGCCAAGAGAAACACTGCATTACAAATCTGTTTAATGTTCTCTGGCCAGTGGGACAGTATAACAACTGTCGAGACATTTGATCATGTAATGCATGCTTGCACAAATGTAATCTTAACTTGTGCGTATGCACACACAAACACATATTGCAGGATTTACCAGTATATTTTAAATTATGAAATATTTGAGTGTAAAAACTAAATATGTGTGTTGATCGAGCAGCTCTTAAATTAATACACAGAAATCATTTTTGTGTTCTGTGCAAATTCAAAGCCACGACAAAACAAAGCACAAGGGATATCTATTAGGAAATACAAAATATCAAATAAGGATAAAAACCATAAAAGCAGAACAGAATAAATAAACAAAGGTAACAATCACAAATGTGCCGGTTTTCATTTTTTATCTTTTGTAACTATAGACAGTATAATGTCATTAAATCCTAAGTAAAATGGACCCAACACTGTGTTACAGAGAGTGGTTGACCTACGTTTTGTGCACCGCTGGGACCCCTGAGTTTTGGCCCATCCGTGACAGCACATCCCTCCACAGACGTTCACCCTGAGAACAGAAACACAACAGTTGAGCTGCATTTCAAGATGTCAGCCCAGAGCTTCACTTTGCTCTGGCCAGAATAAAGTCTTTCACCTCACAGTTAAAGGTGGGGTAGGTACGTTTGAGAAACCGGCTCGAGATACACTTTTATTATTATAATGGAATGCTCTTAACATCCCGATAGCAATGAATATCTTAAGTGCTTTGACAAAAAATCCATTAAAAAATGTCATCTGTGGAAGCCGTAGTACTGTAAAAAGCACGACCAATCATTTTAGCCGTTTTTACTGTGCAATTCGGTCTGAATTGCACAGTAAAAATGGCATTAAATGAAACTTGACAAGACCTATTTTTAGGTAAAAAAAATGGTTATCCACAAAGTTCAGGGGGTTTGAGACAGGTCACATGTTATAGAAGGTTCCATCACAGTTATCTGACTTTTGGCTCAAATCTACATGGCAGACCGGATGTTTTCCAGACTGGAGTGACGTCCTGAACAGAGTTAATGAGATGTGGTTTGGTTTGGTTTGGTGATGCTAAATGTGACTGGGAAGGCAGGAATTCTCTGAGATACTGAAGCTGCTGAGGTGGAGTGTTTCTTGTGGTAAGTATATTTGCTTTGCAATGCCATCCTGAATCACACTACAAAACTTTAGTTTGGAAAAGGTCTACAGAGACTTGATTGAGTCAGACTGTTGGAAACTGAACAGACCGGGGAACTGGACTCACATCCACATCAGAGATTTGGCTAAGATGATGATGTGAGTCACAGCCTCTTGACCTTTTGAGGAGTTTAGGATAAGAAATGTTTTTAAATTCTGAAACAGCATACAGTAGGTCATCAGGGCTACGTCACATCCGGTCTCAGCTCAGTCAAATAAATGGAGGGAACATTTTAATTCAGCTTTTTGCGCATTTCCAACTTTTAGGCCCCAATGAGGTCCAGTCAAGTGTTCGTACTGGGTAGTTAGATTTCACTAGCAATCCGCTGATTTTAAAACGTCTGTTTACCAATGTAAGTTATTGTGAAAAGGTATTTTTGGGACCTAATAACAACTTTCTGACCTTTAAGAAGATTTGCCTAAACGCCCGGCTCACTCCCTGGGGTTGGGGGTGGAGAATGATATATCTATGTATGACGTATCTATGGCAATGGTGTGTTGCTCATGTGTTCACCTGCTTTGGACCCATTCATGTGTGTTATAGTGTCTGGTCACTGTCTGCAGTGTACATGTAGTACCATAAACTGATTTAATAATTAGTCGGCTGTTTTTACACCTGTTTCTTTCTGTCTACTTTATCTCTATCTATCTATCTCACTTTACTTATCTTAATATCTCTTTCTCTCAGGTTCCTTTTTTTCCCTCTCCTTCCCTTCTGCCAGTCAGGTCATCAAATAATCACACAGTTGGCCAGCAATGGTTTAACACTGCAGTGTTCTCCAAAGTTTGGAGATGTATTGGTAGTGATCAGCCCCAATGCACAGGGCAGGTTGTTAATGGGCCAGGGAGAGGATCCAACTTTTCAGTCGGCTGTCAAACAGAACTGTATTTATGTGTTATTTGCAAGATAATTCCAATGTTTGTTGAATAGATTACAGAAATATATTCAAGAAACGTTGGGACTTTTGTTGCTGCCATGTTTTCTAAATCATAGTCACAGAACATTTGACAGACAGAAAGACAGAGTTGATGAAAACATGGAGGAGAAGTCATGGGGGCCATAAAACTCAAATCAACAGTGCTAGTGTTAGGCTACAATGGTTCCATTATACGCAGCATCTGATGCATTGGTCAACTCTGTTTCACTTTCAAAATGAAACAACAGCAACAGAGAGGCTTGTTACTCCATAATGACTGAGTCGTTTGCTTTTGTGTGAGTGGCAGCACTCTACAGCTGAACTATATTTAATAATCACACAATGCTCTGATGGGCCATAAACTGAGCAGCTGAGGTCAAGGCCCACACACTGCCTGGTGGCCTCTTGGTGTTCTACTGATGGTTTCCTGGAGCCTACAGGTGAGATGGGGTGGTGTTGGGGGGGGGGGCTTAAGAGCAGCAGCAGTCCAGATGCAGGTCAGCAGCAGATTGAACAGAGCGTCAGATTCAGGAGAACATGTTAAGTTGTTGGTGTGGGGTGGTAAGGCATGCTATCTGTACTTGTAGCTTGAGTTGACTGCCTGAAATAGCTCACAGGCCTTTGCTCCATTTGTTTTAAACAAAGGGAAATCCACTGCTTAAGCCACTTATCAGCAACTTACACAGGTAGTACGTTTAAGGACGGAACACACAAGCTGATGTGATGAGTGTCTCTCAGCCTTTCCTTCCAACACTTCTGTTTGGGTGTTTGAGTCCTACATGGCACTGACACCTAGAGTTCATGTACATAAATAACTAAAGATTAATTGAATCCAGCACATGTAGCTGACTTTAAAACATTATACAGACTTTTTTTAAATAAAATGCACAAATAAGGGATTTTATTGGATAATGGCCGATTATGAAAGCTTTGATTTCTCGCCGCCTATAGTGTGGAAAAAATATTAAGTATCTTTCACATTAATGGAGCCAGCGTCTCACAGCTATTAGAACAAATCTTTCTTCACCACTGATGAGTTAGCAAAATACTTTAAATTAATTGTTTTGTTTCTTATTTACCATTCAACCCTACATAAACTGCTGGCACATTTGATGTTGTCCCTGTGCACCAGCCTATACAGTTAACTGGTTCAGTTCTGTCTCTGTCCTACACAGTAGGGCTGCTCAATTAATCGTGTTTTAATCGCAATTACGATTATGGCTTGCAACGATTACGAAAACAACGTAATTGAAATAAAACGATTATCTTTTTATTATTATTATTACTTTATTTTTTATTTTTTTAAATACATTTTATTGGTTTTTCAGTTGAATTATACTTAAAGTTCAGGGTAATCAACTGTTAAAAACATACTGTTCACATTTTTTTTCTCCAATAAATGGATGTTTTCAAAGTAAATGGATAATCGTTTTTTAAAAATCGTGATATCAATTATTGACCAAAATAATCGAGATTATGATTTTTGCCATAATCGAGCAGCCCTACTATACAGAGCCAGCACCAAGCACAATTTGTAGGTTTTTCCATAAGAAAATACTGGTTAAGTCTGCTTTTATTAAGTTTGATCCAAAACAAATCACCAGGTGTGAACCCTCTCCCTGCGGTAAGCACCAAACAGCTGGACTTTGGTCACAGGTTAAGAGGTGGTCTTGGTCCAGATCAAGCTGAAGGTTTTACAGGCATCTGGTCCAACCTCAGAGTCAGTTGAAAAAGGCTTCCCAAACTTCAGACACTTTAAAAATAATTTCCCAAGAAGATGACTTGAAAGGCAGAGCATGTCAACCAATCAATTGCCAGTATAGAGAGATATGTCCTGCATAGGTGATGACAACAGGAAGTAGCTATGTCATGTAGAGTTCTGTAGTCCGCTCACATCTTTGTAATGTAAACCAAGATTTACCTGAACGCCAATAAAACAATGTAAAATAAACATGTCAACATTGGTCTGTACCTTCAGGTGTGTAAAGGCCCTGAGTTGATTCCATTACATTTGCAAACTTTAAATGTGTTGCAACCCCGAGCAGGTGTTTTCACTTATTCAGGATAAAAGACAATGAACCAAAAAGTGTGTATCTACATCTTCATAAAAAAACAGCATGTGTGTATGGTGTAATGATTCTGAAATCATTCAACTTCACTATTGACAACTCATTAACCTGGTTAAATAAAGGCTACAAACAAAGATGGGTGGAAAATGTATTACTATTGCTTTTCAATTTCCAGAACTGTACAGTAAAATAATCGCCTCAAATCAAGATCAGCTGATTAGCAGCTGTTTAGTACAGTGCCACATTACCTTGAGTCCCAGAGTGGTAAATAGACAAAAGTGTTGGCAATTATAAAAACGTGATGGGAGAATGTGAAGAGCTGTACATAAACATATAATGATCTTGGTACTTCATATCCATTATGTGAATTTATGAAGAATGCGCAGGGGCTTTTTAACCAATTGCTTCTACGATTTGTTTTGTGTCGTTACAATAACCTTCCCTACTATTAACACTACACCTCCAACAACATGCTGTACGGCAGTGCTTTAATGCTTCATTACATTCTAGTTTGGGCCTAGAAGTGAATGGAGAGTTGGATTTATAGAAGTATAAGTACTGCTCTTTAACACTGATATGTATCTGTCTTAGAGTTAGGAATAATTTCATTTTATAATAATTTGATAATATTATCAGCATTAATTGAATTACTTAGCAAACACAGACAGCTTGACCAGTCAAGTGGTCTGCAACCAATTACTCTGATCTGTGCTGCCCACTCCAATTAGTGTCACAGAGAAGTCAGCAGCTGATAACAGTGTGTGTTCTTTAGGGAGAAAGCACCAGATCTGCAGGGTAAATCTGTGCCATTAAAGTGTGATAAGGCTGTCATAGTAGGCGTTGGTATAAACCATGCCAGAGGTGCCAACTGGTGCAGAGTGAGAGGCTATTTTCCTGAGAGCAGTGTTTGGTTTATGATAAAGTCAGGAAGTCCTTGACAGGAAGTCATTAGCTCCTTCTCATTTTCCCACTAGAACCACATTCCTCCGTGCTGACATGAGCCTCTTACCCAGACAGCTTCACGGTCTGCTGCTGGCTCTGCCCGCCGGGACCGGAGTCCGCCTGGTTCCCCATCCTGCGGGTCCGCACCGGGCCGCCGAGCTCCGCGCTGAGCTCCACGTTGTATGTGTGCCCCGCCGTGCCGTGACGCGTGGAGATGGAGCTGAGCCGCGCCGGGCCGCCGGCTCCCGGGCCGGGCTGCAGCACGTACAGCCGCCTGAAGCCGCGCTGCCCCGCCGGCACACACACCGGGGAGAGGAACAGACCCAGAGAGAACAGCAGGCCGCATCTAATCCAAGCCATATCCACACCGAACACTGAGTTGTTTTAAGTTTTGGGGAAAAAATATGTCCGAGACTTTACTTCTTACGCGTGAGGAAAACGGTTATATTCCTGAGCATATTCCTGTATGTACCTCCTCCCGGTATGGTAATGCAGTAACGGCTGGTGAATAATATAAAAACCAGGCGGGTACCGTGTAGCGCTCCTCGGTGGTCGTCGCTCCGCTCTACGTCTCCTGAAGGCCGAGCTGCTCTTCTGCAGATCTCCGAGAACTCCAGGAAAGTTCCTCTGTTGGAGGTGAACAGACTAGGAGCAGCCAGCCTCCAGACGTGACGTCGGGGGGGGGGCTACACACTCACCCCGACAACATTTGCTGGGAGTGTTTTGGGGCCCAAGGGTGTCAGAGGACCCAAACCAAGACCCCACCCACACCAGCACACACACCCACCCACCCACACACACACACACACACACACACACACACACACACACACACACACACACACACACACACACACACACACACACACACACACACACACACACACACACACACACACACACACACACGACGATATTACAAGAAAAAAAACCTTGGAAAAGGTACTCAGATCTTGTACTTGAGTAAAAGTAGAAGTACCAGAGTGTAGGAATACTCTGTTACAAGTACAAGTCCTGCATTCAAAATGTTAAGTGGAAAAATATTAGCATCAAAATATAGTTAAAGTGCCAAAAGTAAAAGTGCTCATTAAGCAGATTGGTGCATTTCAGAATAATATATATGATATGTTTTATAATGATTGATCATGAAAGTGTTCTCAAAGCTGGTAAAGGTGCAGCTAGTTTGAATGACTCTGTATACTGCAGGGTAGCTTGTGAGTTTACTCCAGGTGGAACTAAAGTCTGATTTAACACTTGATTATATTTCACATCATTCATCCACATCTGTAAAGTAACTAAAGGTATTAAATACATGTAGTGGGCTAAAAGTACACAGTTACACAAAATAGAAATACTCAAGTAAAGTACTCTCAAAATTGAATTTAAGTACATTACTTGAGTAAATGTACTTATCTACTTTACAACATACACACACACACACACACACACACACACACACACACACACACACACACACACACACACACACACACACACACACACACCACACACACACACACACACACACCACACACACACACACACTTTCTTCAGTCACATTTCTGTAAATTGATACAGGCTCAGGCTGTATTCCCTTACAGTCACAGACTGCAGGCTATCAGATTTCTGATACCTTTTTGGAAAATGGGGTTTATTAGCAGGGTTACAATGTTACGATACATTCTAAAAAAAGAACAATATATTACAAAGCACATACATACATTGCAACACTAAATGAATTAAAACATATTTATCTTCTAGTTTATTAGTTCAAATAATGTGTTTGGGTTGAAATGTTGCCAAAATGTGTTTTTATTAAGCTAATACACCACCGGCAGTGGCTCAGTCAGTAGGGGCTTGGACTGGAGCCATAGGGTCCCTGCTTCAAGTCCCTGACTGACCTAAATATGGAGTGTGGACTGCTACTTGGAGAGGTCCCAGTTCACCTCCTGGGCCCTGCCGTGGTGCCCTTGAGCAAGGCACCGGACATCCCCCCACTCCCATTGCTCCCCGGACGCTGTATAGCTGCCCACTGCTCCTAGTACTAGACTCCTGGTACTAGGATGGGTTAAAAGCAGAGAACACATGTCACTGTGTGTGCTGTGTGCTCTGCATGTGTGACCATTAAGCTAGAGCTTGTACTGGCATATGATTTGATTGGCTGACGCTTCCGTCGAAGCTTCAAAAGTTGAACATTGCTCAACTTTTGAAGGGAGCAACGCGAGCAAAGCGAAGCGACGGAACCACAATGCAGTTCGGCAAAGCGTGACGTGTTGCATGTTATCTCTGAGTTCACAACTTAACTGTCCCCTTATCTTAAAGGAGAGGTGTCATGCTTTTCCGGTTATTACCCGTCCCCTTGTGTGTTATGAAGGTTTTTATGCATGTAAACGGTCTGCAGAGTCAAAACCCTCAAAGTACACCCTGTAGCGAGTAAAACTCTAACACAGAAAATACCTCCCCAAAACGCCTCGTTGGAGATACGTCATTGTCCATTTGATTCTTCCGGGACGGCATGATGTCAAGCCGTACCCGGAACGAAATGGACCAATCCGTGGAGCCGTTACGTTACGTCCGCGGAGCCGTTACGTTAAGCCCCCGCTGATTGGTCCAAATTGACCAATCCACGGACTTCCTCACACACACACACAGTGCAGGCAGCTCTGCTGATTTCTCCTCCCTGGCTGCAGGCTGATAACAGACAGTTGCGATTGCGGCGAAATTCTCTCTGCAGACCCATTCTCACAGCGTTTATCAACCTTTTTCTTACTCAATATCAAGCCACACTTATTGTTTTTACTTCGGCTGTGACTTTGTGTGTGCTCAGGATGAGTTTGGCTGTGTTTCGCTATGTATCCTAAACAAGGAAACAACACCTCCACGGAGCTCAGCACGATTCACAACGTCCCGACCAATCAGAGCACACTGTGCTCACAGGGAGGGTGGGGGCTGGAGCTTTTGGAGCTACAACGAGCCGTTAAAGGCAGAGAGTGAAATTCAGTGAATACAAGTAGTTTACAGAGATGCTGTATGAGAAACCAATGTGAGTTTGGAAAAATGCACAATATACATCTATTCTAGTAGACCTCAACAATGGAATTATGATCAGTGGAAATGGCCATGACACCTCTCCTTTAATACATTTTAATATTATCTCAAGTTCTCATCATTATCTTAATATAAGGCTGTTTATATTTAGTCCAAGATAATAGTTCAGGTATTTTTCTATGTATTTTTCTATGTTCTTCTAACCCATATTTCCTTCTTAATGTCATTGAAGCATTTCACATTTAGATTTTATCAGCACTGTTTGCTTTTGAAAATCTGCATGTTTGCAATTTCCTGCCCTGATAACTGTTATCAAACACTCCTCATGTTCCCATCATGCACTTGTGTTGCACAGTGCCCACATGAGGAAAATATGTGCCATTTCTGTCTGTCTTTTGACTCAGACCGAGACAAGAGGAGAGACGTTTCATCTCGATGTTCGATTGTACCCGAGGAAGAAACTCGTATAAAAAATGTACATGCTTTAGTGCCTTTAAATAACACAATGTTCTTCTTTTTTACATCTTCCTACTTTACATTTCCTTCATTTTAACTTCTTCATGTAGTCTTCATGTGTGGTGTTGGGATCTGTGTATGTTCCTAGCTGCTGTGACGTCGTACATTTCCTCGCCCTGGGACCTGTTGGAGTCGGGAGGGCTGATAATTTATTCCGGCAAATTACTCAGACCTACTAATTGACCTAACAGAAGTTATTGAGTCTATGTAAGTTTACTGCTTGGCTCAGATCCACCAACGTCAGCAAGATCTCACCTCTATTAACTCCTGAAGAACCAGGTTCAATTAACTGCTGTTTCAATTCAGACGAGCCGCTAAATCTGTTTAAGCGATCCCGAAGGATTTTGATATCAGTAAATGAGGTGTGGCCCTACCTAAGTGTGAGTGTGGCAGTGTGCAATCTTACCTTTTAAGCAGGAGAGGAGAGCGCAGATGTCTTTTAAGTTGTCCCAATCCAAAAGGTGGGATCAGTTTATTTGAAGAAAAATTGGTCCACACTTATACAGGGTTTCTACCTTCTCTCGTTACAACATGACAATCCTACAAAACATATAATGCTGTGGTCATGTTCTAATTCAACAGTTTTACATTTATTACACTAAATTGTAACTTCAACTGCCCAATTCAGTTGTGATATTTAAATCTCCCGATAGAATTTAGAGGCATCTCCTCATAAACGACCGGTGATAATAAAAAGCACATTCAAACTTTCATTCACCAAATCAATTCACATCAATTCCACACCTATTTCTGCATGAATTCGGAGGAATTTCCTCACAGGTGGCGGGATACTAAACATTCACAAACGCACACCTATTTCTGCATAAATTCGGAGGAATTTCCTCACAGGTGGTGGGATACTAAACATTCACAAACACACACCTATTTCCGCATGAATTCGGAGGAATTTCCTCACAGGTGGTGGGATACTAAACATTCACAAACACACACCTATTTCTGCATGAATTCGGAGGAATTTCCTCACAGGTGGCGGGATACTAAACATTCACAAACACACATCAATTCATTCCGCTCATTCTGATGTACAGGACTGGACATGACCAGACATATTCTATGGCTATGGCATAGGACACACCTTCCCATGTTTGTGTAAAAAGGTCATGGCCTCCAGTGTGCAGGACTGGAAAATATTATTCTCGGCTATGGCATAAACACCTTTTTGGGGCCTCAGTCTATTTCTCCTTAAGTCAGGAGCCCCCCTCCCTGTGTACTGCTGTGAGGGAAGAGGGAAGAAACGGTCTCTCCTCTCTTATCAGTGACACCCATAAACCATAATAGGCCTTACACACTCAATTTAACAAACTACTTGTGTTTTGTTTATACTGTAAATATGGAAAACCATAAAATATGAAGCATTTTCATTGTGGGTTACACAAGAATATAATTGATTATATTTGATTATAATTAACGTTCGTTTTAAGTATTCAACCTAATATGGAGATCTCAACAGACCATTAAAGGCTTTCTGATTCTGATGCTCGAAAGAATTTGTGAAATTACAGATTGCCTTCACTGGTCACCATTTTTCACAAGCTACCAATCGATCTTAAAACTCTGAGCATGCTGCAGAAATAAACATGTTGACAGCCTGGTACAAAAATGCTTTTGGTCTCTATAGCTAATTTCTTCCATAATGAAAACTTCCCTTTTTTTATATCAAAGCAAGTTTCACATTGCTAGGTCGTGGCCCCTCTAATGCGGCTTTCACACCAGCCCTTTTACCCTTTCTAGCTCCAAGCTAGAGCTTTTCTGGTTCAGCTCCGGTTTCCCTTTTCTGCTCCCGCTCTGTTCACACCGCCCAGAGCTGCTGCTGCTGCGTCATGACGTCACCGTTTACATCGCTGATTTTCTCCCCAACGGAGCTCACAACAACAACGGGGGACTGCGTCGGGTCGATGATCGTGTTGCTTTTAATCATACGAAGCCAGATTAAATTAAATAACGACTTCTCCAACCTTATACTTTTCTCCAGAGTGCCGTGGTTCATTGTTTATTAATGTGTTTCAGCGGCATTTACCGACCGCTGCAGTGCTGGCTGCACTTCCACGGGAGTTTATTCTCCCGTTAGCTCCGGGTTAGCTCACACGGCTCTAAAGTATTCACTGTCTGACTGTCACACAAGCAGCTGGTACATATCCCCAATTCCCCTTAAAGGAGACGTGTCATGCTTTTCCGGTTATTACCCGTCCCCTTGTGTGTTATGAAGGTTTTTATGCATGTAAACGGTGTGCAGAGTCAAAACCCTCAAAGTACACCCTGTAGCGAGTAAAACTCTAACACAGAAAATACCTCCCCAAAACGCCTCATTGGAGATACGTCATTGTCCATTTGATTCTTCCGGGTACAAAATGGACCAATCCGGAAGAGCTATGGCCACACCCAGCGGCGCTGGCCGCACCCTCTGCCAACCTAACATTTACTGTTGGAAGCTCTGGTTCAGTTCACAATCGATCCAGTCATGCCAATGCCAAGGACCTGTTTCCTGAAACGGGTGATTTACCGTACGGTCAGTCGCGAAACGTAATTACATTATAGCTGGCGTTCCTAGCGTGTATGCTACCGAGCTAAACAACGGAGCTAGACATGAGTTTGCTCGGGAAAACATTGTTGTTATGCCAGCTACAATGAATGTAGCAGACTACCCGTATAAGATTGCAATTGTAAACATGTTCTTGATAGCCTAATATGAACCACTATCTGGTGTTCATAGTATAGTATAGTATAGTATAGTATAGTAGCCTATAGCATATTACACTGAACAACTAGCAAACGTAGGTTAGCATTGTAATCCAGCTGGCAAGCTGACGAACATAAAACGACTAAGTTTCAATAATACTTTGTGATTGGCACTTCATTTCGTTAGGAATGTCTCCCAAACAAGGTATCTACCACGACTGTTTAAATGTGTAAACGTGTTAAGGACTGCTAAGCCATTGACACAGTGCTAACTGTGCTAACTAAGTTGCTAGCGTTTCCATATATCAACTCTAATATCAGCAGATGGCCTTACATACATGTATCTCATATCAGGAGAATGTCTGCATTCACACACGGAATACTCATAGACAGTATACTCCGGGTGATTTACCGTGCGGTCAGTCGCGAAACGTAATTACATTATAGCTGGCGTTCCTAGCGTGTATGCTACCGAGCTAAACAACGGAGCTAGACATGAGTTTGCTCGGGAAAACATTGTTGTTATGCCAGCTACAATGAATGTAGCAGACTACCCGTATAAGATTGCAATTGTAAACATGTTCTTGATAGCCTATGAACCACTATCTGTTGTTCATAGTGTAACGTCCGAGGTGTTAAGGCTTCAAGAATACTTCTGTGTAACAAAAACTCAGGAACTTAGTACTTTTTGGAGCGTCACAGATGCCTCCGTTTATTTAACGTCGAGTCACACCACACCCTTTCTCTCACCACTCTAGCACAGACTGCGCATGCTCACAACACATGACCTCTCAACCCAATGCTTACATGCGTCCCCCCTTACTGAAAGAAATGTCCCCATTTCCACACACATGGTGAGAACACAACAAAACATTAAAAAAACAATACAACCACGAAGAACCCCAAAAACATAACAAACCACACACTACCCTGCAGAATAATACATGCAGGCATGACGTACTTCCGAAAAAAATGACAAACAAAACACATCCACAGCCCAAATAAAACATCAAACTAGGTATGACATAACCTATTCCCCTGTCCTGCACACTCGAAACATGAAAAAAAAACAATTATGCAGCATAGAATACACAGGAGAAAATAATCACACAAGCACGTAAACACCAGTCATTCAGCCCATAACAAAGTCCAAAAATCGGACAGGAGGCCGCGCTAACCTCCCAGCCCGGGACACCGTCGGTGCGGCTTGTTCGAGCTCAGGGGAATCATCAGCCCCAGAACCCGGCCCAAGATCACAGCCACTTTCCCCATCGGAAAACCTCAAGCGTCCAGAGCTCTGTGGGGAGACTGCATCTTGCAACGGAAGAGGCTGAGAAAGGTGTAAGAGAGACCTTGATGGTCCCTCCAAGGGAAAGGCTACCGGCAGGTTGTATCGCCGTAGTCTGTCGTAATGGACATTTTGGAGAGAGGCTTCATCCTGTTGGAGCAGAACACCTCTTCTACGCGCCGTTCGTTGGATGAGGCTGGATCTCTATTAAATTAAGAAAGGAATTGAAAACACCGGAATCAAAGTTATAACAAATTATCTGAGTTTACTTCTGGTAGGAAACCAAACACATATACAAGTTATACAGAGTACTCGAGTACTCCGGGCTTCAGGTTTGTGATGCGGTTTACAGGTAGACAGACCAGCCTTCAGGAAACGAGAAGTACAGACTTCAGGTTTGGGATGCGGTTTACACGTCTCTAGACCAGCCTTCAGCAAACCAGAAGCATTTTTACACTCAAAAACATCAGTATTCATATCTATTTTTGGGGCGGAGATGTGTCGACTCTTCCTTCCCATTTTCCTCCCAAGCGAATCAGAGTTCCGTGAGGAGGAGCTGTGTAAGCTGATCACCTCCCCCAAGTGTCCTGATTGGCTGGATTCACTTCTGGTCGAGTTCAATAGTTCTTCACCAGAATTTGAAATTCCAAAGTCCCCTAAGGTCAAAAGTCAACCTCTATCTTCGATTCGAATCTTAACTCTATTCCTTTCCCATGAGTTCTTCACATAAACCATCCCTTTTCAGACATTTAAACTTTTCTTCACCTATTTAACGATGTGTCTTTAACGACTTAAAAACAACATCTGTTCTTAGGGGTGATAAGGAGCGATGTAATGTTGTCTTTAACGACCTTAATGACGACATCTGGTTTTTAGGGGTGAAACAGGCAAGGTTGGTGTGTGAAACACAGAATCTCTGGGTCAGTGAGTTTAAAAGTGAGAATAACATTCCTATTCTAAGTGATTATCAAAACCCGTTTGTGATTACCTAAAACAGTTCAAACAATACATGTTCACTAAAATACAATTCAAAATAATACATGTTCACTAAAATACAATTCAAAATAATACATGTTTACTTCAATACAGTGTAGAATCATATCTTTTTACTTCAATCCCCAAACGGGCTACTTAGTTGGTACGTGACCCCCACTTCATCACCCCTATCCATTCGCCTCTGCACCAGATAAGGCCCCTTCCAGTGGGGAGCCAGCTTACGGCGGCTCTCAGTGGGATCATTTAACCACACCAAATCCCCGCTGAGAGCGAGCCGAAAAAAGCACTGTTAGACATGGGCGGAGCCTCTCTGGTGGTTGACTAATCAGAACAGAGTGGCCGAGCTGACCAATCGAAGCACACTAGGCTCACAGGGAGGGGGGGGCAAGAGCTCCAACGAGCCGTTTAGTGGAGAGAGTGAATACTGCTGAATACACATACTTTACAGAGATGCTGTATGCGAAACCAATGTGAGTTTGGAAAATTGCACAGTATAAATCTATTTTAGTATACCTCAACAATGGAATTATGATCAGTGGAAATGGCCATGACACCTCTCCTTTAAGTGAATGTGTGTCAGTCTGAATTGACGCTGTTTGGCATCACAACGCTGTTATGAAAGTTTCTCTGGTATAACATGGGTGATGTTAGCATAGCAACCGAAGCTAAACTGACTACTTGCTAAGCCGTTTTCTACAGGCACATTTTACCGGCGTATTTTTCATTATGATTCTACTTGTGATAGTCGGACATGACAACCTGTGCAGCCCATGTATTGATTCCATCCGATAGCTGCTATAATAAAAAACAAAACGTCTGCCTGCTCTCCACAATGATCAATAACAGCGAACGGATGGTCAAAGTAAGGTACAAATAAACAGAATCACACAAAGCCTGGTTAGTGTTGCCTGACTTTATAAAGTGTGTTTTTTTTTATAAGTGTGTGGTTGCCTTCTAGTCACTT